TAGATTTACCACAACATTGGAAGGAATAAGTATTTGTTTCGATACAAAATTGCTAATTATCTGGCTGTCCAAGAATTTACAAAAATAGGTAAGAGGAGTTGAATCCTGAGGAATCTCCAACATTGGGATAAACTCTTATTCATGTTTTTGATGTCTTTTTAGACCAAAGGGGGTTATCTTTTATTTTAGTTATAGAAGTATCTTCGATTATATCCTCCAATTCAAGACCTAGTTCATTTGTAATACAAATGTCGGCAAATTATCTACCAACAAAGGATAATAATTGTCTTTTACGCCTGAGCTCTCTATATCAGCCTCAGATACAAGACCTAGTTCATTTGTAATACAAGATGATATCGGCAAATTATCTGCCAACAAAGGATAATAATTGTCTTCTACGCCTGAGCTCCCTATATCAGCCTCAGATATATCACCCTGATACCTGATAAGTGTAATCATATCTAAATACATATAAAAGCATCTCATATTACATGTTATTTATATAAAATATCTAATTAGAATTTCTCCTTATATCTAAAAAACTCACTAATAGACATTAGATAATCAATATAGGTAACTATTATTAAAATTTAATCAAATTACACCCCCCCCCCCTCCGTTTCCATAACTCGAAATCTAAATATCCTAAATAATTTACTTAAGATTTCATTTATTGATAAAAATATTTTAATACCTAATTAATGACCATTGGTGCCAAATAGCATTATGCTCAATTTCCAGCATTTAAAATGATTAAAAAGAGATAATTTTTAAATAATATTAATATATATAAAAGCCATGTCACAGTCACAGTTTCACAATTTATAATATAAATTTAAAAATTCATGATTTTTTAAAAGCGAATGTTTTTAAATCTGGCTAGAAGATAAAATAATTAAGTGTGACATATTCACATACGATTCAAAGTTTGTTGCTACTTTAAAATTCAAACTATTAAATAGGTATTCTTATATTTTTAAATTTTTCACAACGTAATAGCCAATAGTATTCTTATAGCATCATACCATATCAAATACTCATTCATCAAAGCATCCTACATCATAAACATTTATCTATCTACGTGTCACAGTCAAAGTGTCACAATTTATAATATATATTTTAAAAATCGTAAATTTAGAAAAGCGTCTATGGCCTAATCGGCAAGAGCATCTCTTACAAATCTTAAGGCATTGGGTTCGAATCCCAACAAACATGTTTTTTTTTCTTTTCCAACTTTCAATAAAAAATTTAATTTTGCTAGATGAGGGTTTTGTATATTGTTATTATGGAAACAGATTTCGGATTTGGACTTATTAAGAATGAGTCTTTTAAAATTGGCTTCAAGAAAATTGAAAACCAATGGAAGAGCATCACAGATTGTTCCATCATCAAGATACCAAATATTTATATCCAAATTAAGTTTAGATTTGAGATAATGAATACCAATGTAAAATAAACGAGGACGTTTGCCCCCTGTTGGATCCTTTCATCAGAATCTATGACATGTGGGCTGAATAAAGGAGTTTTAATGCTACAGCTTTAGGAATTTTGATAAACAAGAAATTTGGGATAAACAAGAAATTTGGGATAAAAACAATGTGAAATGTTCACGAAATTTGCCCTTGAAAGCATTTTTAAAGTCTACTTTGATAATAGCCATGTTAGGAGGAGGATTTTGGAATACAAATGGCATGTGAAGCTATTTTGCCTTCTCCCTTAACACCAAATCCTAATTGATAAGTATACATAATAAGTTAAGACCCTGGGTTTTGACCCATGGCAATTATTTTTGCTAATAATATTATAAATAGCCCATTGTAATAGGGTGTTTGTGAGATAATCTGATACCCCCATAATTGATTCGAATCTATGATGGCAGGTCTTTTTTTAAAAGAGTATTTAGGAAGGTATAAGCATTTAAATGATTTTTTGAGAAGAATGTAGATTTTATACGAAGTGAGAGAGCAAAAACCATTGCGTCTGGATGTGGAAAATTTCCTAAAAGAATTGATAAATATTATAACTCACAAATCATATTTTTTTTATTCACATTTTCCATAATATATTTGGCCTTTTCTCTGAAAATTTATAGAAATCTTGGAAGGATGAATACGGATAATCTATTCCTCTCATTTGACTATTCTGATTCACCCATCGTCAAAGGTAAAATTTATTATTTATCTATACGGAGAAAATTCTGATTCCCCATCATTCTTGACGCTTGATAACTAGAAATATGCATTATAATTTTGGCGCGAAAAGGGTGCGAAAAAATTGATCCTTTATATAATATAATATAATAATCTTTAATAGCAAGTTGGTCATAGACCTGCCCAAATGTGAGCGTACGTTATGCCGATCTTTTTACTCAAGGATACCAACAAACCTTGTAACCAAGATATAAAGTAAAAAGGGTGGGACTACACCCAAGCTATTTGTATATGTTAGTAATGAGTATAGTAAAGGAAGGAATAAATCATTTTGTATTTGCCGCGTGATTACATATGAAACAAAGCGAGTTAATGATAAAATACGAAACAACAAATATTAAAAATATGATTTCATAAGTTATCAATGACCATTTTTAATGCATATGAAATACTATTGGAAAATTTTAATTCCAAAAGTTATCCATGGGCGCGAAAGGGTTAAAAATATTCTTTATAAGGTTTTAAAAAAAAGGGACATAGCCTAAATTTGTCTTTTCATTTAATTTTGTGCTTGTTTGAGCTTTCATTTCTTATAGCAAAGTTGGAGTAGATTCAAAATTTTAAAAATATCCCCCAAAAAATCAAGTTCTCACATTGGATGATGTCAAAAAATATGGCGGATAATTTTTAAATCGAATTTTAAAATAATGAATATTACTTCGGACAATGGCTAGGGTTCGTTTTATTTCGATAAATTATTTTCAGTTTTATCTATCATTAGCTGAGATTTTGACAATAATATCAGACACCTGAAGACCAGACCAAGGATTTCTACACCATCTAAATGCAATATAACCCCCCCCCCCCCTCCCTCAAAATTCTACCTTTTAACCCCCCCCCCCTCAAAAATTGTACCCCATACCAATTGTTATTAAAATATTGTCTTTTTATTCTATTGAGTGAGGCGAATTATATATTATACAATAGGAAATAAATATATACTTTCAAAAAAAGTTTAAATTTATTTCATCAGGTTTAAAATAATGGCTTCTATTTTTGATTTTTGTATAAAATAATAGAGCACACTTTAACCGAATTTGTCAAGGTCGAACCTGAAAAAATAGCTTAAATTATTTTCAATTTTGAAAAAAAATGTTTTAAGAAACAACTCACGTACGCATGAAGACTTACTTAAGAGAACCCTAGAAAATATTCGTGTCCTTTATGATTGTAAATTAATATCTAATAAATATTTAATAAGCAATTACATATTTTGTAAATTGTAATTTATTTCATTTGTAACAAAAATGAAGTTTCAGCGCAAATTTAGATAATAATTTATCACATTTTTAAAAATAACCTAATAAAAGAAAAGAGGACCTTGAAATTGAAAGAATAGTTTTTAATTTGATACATCTTTTTTTGGAAGTATGGTATAATTAAAAAAAAAGTGATTCTTTAATTTTTCATTTAATTATTTTAGCATGCACGCATGAGTTGTAAAATCTCGAAGTCCTTATGATGTAGCACTTTTAAAATTATTGGCATGTCAGACAAATCTTTAGTTTTTACGTTGTTCTCCAAAATATTTTGAATCGAATAATGATTTTATTGGTTAATGATAGGTAAATAAGATAAGTAATGGATTGCATAAAAAGTGCGATTTATTATTAGGAAATTGATAAGTTTTTTTTTAAAATAATTTTTCCGGGGTCCGAATCTGCCTTTAATACATACGCACGAAAATATTAAAAGAAAGATTAAGCCACATCTAGCCTAGCTTAGGATCAAATATTGTGCGGGGTTCGAATGTGAAATAACTTATGTAATAAAATTGGAATTAAGAATAATAATTTATATGTCATAATGGAATGTAGAATTCGTTGATTCGAAACCTAAATTTTAAATCATTTACATAGCCAATTTTTGATTTAAAAAATCTGTTTTGATCGGAAATGTATTCTAACATGTGAATATCAAACTATTTTGTCTAGAACCTTTAAAGTATTCTTAATTATTTTTCTTAATAAATTTAAAAATACACATAGATGTATGGCGAAAATTTATAAAATTTACAGGATATGTGTTTTACACATGCTTGAATGCTTTCAAATTTAAAGATCTCCCTCAGTAAATAATATAAAATTTAATTCCATATTCCAATACGACATATATATGAAATTTATAAGAAATGTTTAAAATTAGATTTGAGGTAAGACATTCTTGAAATAGATTATTATATATTTTTTTTAAAAAATACAATTATTATTTTTGTTTTCTTATAGATCTCATAAATTTTGAATCATATAACTTATAAATATAATAATATTCTATTAATTTGAAAACGCAATACCATACTATTATTATTCGAATTTACTAGGAAATGAATTTAAATAAAATTTTATCGATTATATTTTAATTTTTTTATATAAAGATGAATCGAACCCATACAATTGAGATACAATTAATATACTTATACCCCTCATCTCTTCCCATTAAAAAAAGATATCTTTTTTGGTATAACCTTCTCCATCGGTGTCTCACAACTATAACCCCCCCCCCCCCCCCCCCCCATGATAAAATCCTGGCTACGCCACTGTTTAAAATCGACGTTAAATCATCTTTGTTCTTTTTCCTAATTATTCATATAAGTTTACAAAATAAAATACTATATATAGTGCCAGTTTCTAAGCAAAGTTTAAAACTCTTCTTGGTGATTGTCTACTTATTTTGACTCCTTTGAGCGTCCCTCCCTGCCAAAAATGTAACCCAACATTTTGGTTAAATTATTTGATTAACTAAATTACTATGTTTTCTAACATTCTCTTGTTTTTTTTCCTCCAACAAAAGGAACTAAATCTTTTTTCAACTACGACGCCTACTTCAAAGAAAAACTCGATCAGAAAAAGTCGGATCATTCTTATAGAATTTTCAAAAAAATAGGCCGTATCGCCAACGAATTTCCTTTCGCCGAAGAATACAGCTCTATTGCCCAGAAGGTCACCGTTTGGTGCAGTAATGATTACCTGGGCATGAGTCGGCACCCGGTCGTTATACAGGCTGTCATGTAAGTTAATAAGCGTTGGTTTAGTTATATAAAATTGTATATATATAAGAAAGTAAGCACTTTAAACCAGGGCTGTGAACCCGAACCCTGATATTTTACTAAAGTCCAAACTACGGACCTTTTTTTTAAATTAGAAGTTTAGGGTTCAAATTTCTTTAAAAAAAACTTTTTTTTTTTAAATTATAAAAAATTTGATAATTATTAAAAAACATATCAAAAAAATAACATGTAAAATATTAATATAATAAAAAAATATATTAAATATTTCAATATATTTTAAAACCTTTAAAAAAATCCGGGCTGGGCCTGAAATTTTTTTTAACATCCAGGCCGTGCCGTGCAAATGGTATCTCTGCAGGTCTGAAATATTTAAAACATAAATGTGCTTTTAATTCTCAGAAAAACATTTTTTTTATGAAATTCATTTTCATGGAATCGTTTTTTATTTTAGTGCATCAATTTATTTAGATTTAAAAATTTTCTGAACCCCGAACCTGGTTCAGAAATTTTTCACTGAACCTAAACCTTTTTTTAGTAGGTTGCACAGCCCTACTTTAAATAAACACTTACTTCGAGCTGAATTTTTAATTATTAAAAATAAAAATGGTAAATAAAGTGAAATGAAATATATTCCTTTATGGGATCTTTCAGGGCAACAACATTGCATTTGATCATTTTGTTTGTCATAAAGTTATGAATATGGTTATTTTTATTATTAGTATTTAAAAAGCAGCTTTTACTTTTTATAAAAACAGTTATAATTTAATTTTGTTTTTATTGACCCCAACAAGTTTCGTTTGTATATTTTTTTAGCCGATCACTATGTAATGTATCAAAGTTCTTAAAAGATGCTTTTAAAATGAATCAGTACATATGTATATTGCCTTACACTATTAAAACATTTTTTTAAAAGCATTTAAGTTGCCATTTTTTTATTATAATCATATAAGGCGTGTCTAATATCATATTGAAAATCTATTATTAAAACTCAATTATTTTCGTAGTGAATGAAACATTTTTTGTTTCACAGCGAAAGACGCTTTTTTCGAACATTATCTAAATATATAGAGATATAACATTTATGTATCTAAATATTTTAACAATTCTGCTATATATATATAATAAAGTATATTTTTGTTTTAAAAGCGATGCCCTAGAAAAGTACGGAGCTGGTTCCGGTGGAACTCGTAACATAGCTGGAAACAGTATTTTGCATGAACGTTTGGAAGAATTGTTAGCCCGTTTGCACGCGAAAGAGAAGGCTTTGCTTTTCACTTCTTGTTACGTGGCTAATGATACTACACTTTTCACGTTGGCTAGATTGTTACCAGGTTTAAATTTTTTAAATTGTATTTTTCATTATCATGTAATTCGAACTCTTAATGATCGTAGTGTTTAACTAGTTTTTAACAACGTTATATTAAAAAGTAAAACCTACCCCCACCATCTCCGATCGAAATCCGGTTCAGAATAATTTAGAACAGAGACCTGCAGGCCCGGCCCAGCCGTATTTTAATTTTTTTAGATATACCCAGGCCAGGCCTGATTTTTTTTTGAAATACCCGGGTCGGGCCGTATATTTTAAAACCAAATATTTGGAATCGCCATTATTAGCTATAAAAATCAAAAATAAATATGATATATTTTAAAAAAATTCGGGCCGGGCCGTGCAAATGGGACCTTTGTAGGTCTCTGATTTTGATATGCATATTTGGGGTTATACTCAAGCCTTTTGATTATCACCTCATGTCTTATTAGGTTTCACTCCTTTAGCCTTTGACTTCTTATATTTCTTCACCCAATCATGCTTAAACTAAAAGATGGCAGCTAACAACTAATTTGTAAATAAGGATAGGTGGATGAATTTGAATGATAGTGAATTAGCCTGCCTGAATATTTCTCACTCATATTCGCTGCCTTCAAAGTTCAATTCGAACGTTTTCTTTTTTTACAAACCTCAAATTGCTTGAAAAATATTTAGTATAAATTCACAAATTATTTATTATTATATAGCCCTTAAATTTCTTGTTAATAAAATATTACTATTTTAAAAAATATTACTATTTTAAAAAATATTATTATCAATATCTATGTATTTCAGGTAAAACCACAAAGTGCTATCTTGAGCTAGCCCCAATTTTGGACAATAAAACTCACCAAATAGTTTCCAATATTTAACAATTAAAGTAAGAATTTAAATAGAGGAAATAAGAATTTAAATTTTATTTAGGTTTTTTTTAATTTTAGAAGAAATAATTATTAGGTAAATTTTTTTAAAAATGAAAATCAGGGATCTGTAGTGGTACCATTTGCACGACCCAGCCCTGATTTTTTTAAAATATATATTTATTTTTAATTTTTATAGCTAATAATGATTTAAAATATTTGGTTTTTTACGGCCCCCCGGCTAGTATATTTGTTTAAAAAAATTTCAGGCCCCGCCCGGGTATGTTTAAAAAATTAAAATATGGCCCGGCCCGTGAACCCGGGCTTAGGACCGGACCTGCAGGTCTCTGATAAAAATAGGCTAATAAATAATCATTTTATATATTTAAACATTAAAATTTTATGTCAAAATAACTCTTTTTTATCTCACATATTGCAATTTCTTAAGATTATCTATTACTAGTTAATAACCCGTCAAGAATGACGGGGTTGAGGGGTAATTAGTTTGTGCATATGGTACTAAATATACTTTATTAATATATTTTATAAAAATATTTTAATTTAGGCGAAAAGAGGTAAATTGTGAAACATACCTCATGAGATATTCTTAATTTCTGATTCATCTATCATCTAATAAGGGAGAAAAGTATGATGACCCGTCTTTCTTGAAGGGCATATGAAAAATATATAACTAAGAGTAGAGTTCCCGTTAGTCAGCATTGCTGAGTCCGTCAATAATGGGGAATGAGAATTTTCTCCTTACTCTTATTATAGTTGTTACCTGTTATTTGAAAATAATATCCAATTTTTATACTTTATAACCCCCTCCCACCTTCAGGTCAGGTCCAATCCATTAAAACTAAGTTTAAATGCTATGTTTTGAGTCAAAATATATTTAAAGCTTTTACTTGATACCCATATCAATATTATTTGTTAAAATATTACTAATCATCTATGCCTATTATTTAATATTGAAAAAATTCCCAAGCAAGGTCCAAGTCCATAATAATTTTAAAAAAATATCCCCAATCCCAACCAAAGATCATAATAATTTTTGTAGTTAAAATATTTTAAAAAATCATAATGAATTTAAAAATACAATCAAAATCTGATTTTATGGGCCTTGGTTTATTTGTTTTAGCTCAATGTCTGATCCATAGTTAATAATAATAAAAATTCCCAAGCGTCCAAGCTGATAATAATTTGAAAAATTTTCCCCAAGCGTAGTCCAATATAATTTATAAAAATATTATCCAAGCCCAGCCCGACCCATTATAATTTAAAAAATTTTTTTTCAGCTTCCAATAAAAAATATTATAAAAATATTTTCAAGCCCAACCCGACCCATTATAATTTAAAAAAAATTTTCTCCTGGTCAACCGATAATAATTTTGGAATTGTTTTCCCAAGCCTGTTCCAATATAATAGATAAATTACGGCGATTATATATATTAGATGCGTACACCCGATATATGTTTCAAACAGCTAAGATTATTCTATGATAGATAGCATTCTAATAAAAAGTATAGATGATAAATTTTTTAAAAAGACCTTCTTTTTCGAGCTTCTTTAATTTTTTGAAAATCAATATAATTTCTTTGAGGACAAAACTATAAATATTTTTTTTTAATTACTGGAAATTCGTCCACACTAAAAATAATATTTTCCTAAAGCTGTGTCCAAAATCAATTTAAAAAATTCGAAAACTTTCACAAATTTTAATGAAATCATAAGTTAAATTTCTGATATTTATAAAATTTTCTATAATTATGTCTTGGATATGTTTTTATATTTAAGATCACTTATTTATTTATTTTCATTAAAGTTTTGAAAATTTTTGATGTTTTGACAGTCTACCGAGAATTAAAAGAGCTAAAAAATGATATATAATTTATGACTTTAGATTAAATACTTTTTGAATAATTTGAGGTACGTTAAAGGAAGAAACTTTGAAAACGCATAATTCCGGGTATATTTTAGACAGGGCTTTAAAATTTTGATTTATATAAAATTTACACACTATAACTAGCATACCGAGTTTCATTAGTATTAAAAATACTTCCAAAATCTTGTTTTGGTCAATTTATCATGGAACATAGCGTATAATGTTTGCGGAATAATTTAATAGCCATAACCTAACAATCTCGCATATAGTTTTTGTAAAGCAAAAAAATGTTCGGGCGGACAACTTGTGCAAAACTTTTACAAGCTGGGCCTGAAATTCGATTTTTCATAAAGTTTACAATTAGGCTAATTTATATCTTATTCCTTCATGAAAAATTTACGTGCTAAGTTGGACACCTTGTACAATTTTATATTCTAAGCCAGGGTGAATAAAAGGATTTAATGGGTTGATCAAGGTATCCAAATATGATATTTTCAAAAGTCAGACCTCGCCATTTTTTATACAATTTATATTTGGCGAATAGTTTGGAGATTAGATTTGATATAACAATTCGATCAAAGCCACACTCACCGTCTTATATAAGAAGTCATAAAGAGCCGCTTTATTAGTCAAGCAGTAAAGATTCAAACGAGACTATTATTAATTATGGAGATTAATTCCGCTCGGTGATTTCATCAATTTTCGATCATAGGGGGTGGAGGGGGTTATAGCGATTGAAGAGAAAAAATTTCTCCCTTTCAAAGAAAGATTTTACGATTACATTAAAACTTATTGTCTCAAACTTTTTATCTTTTGCTTGAAATATGGAAAACCTTATATTCACGATCGGCCAAAATGTCCGCGGAGAGATTAATTATAAAATTTTGAATATATTTTTTTACACGCCTCTTTCATATAATGATTTTAAGATTAAATTAAAACTAATTGTCCTGTATTTTTATTTCATTTGTTTGGTCGATGAAAAACCTTATAATCATGATCAGCCAAAATATCTGCGGACTAAAAAATTCTGTCGATGTTAGAATTTACAAATTGTCTATATAGATGGTTTATTAAAACAATATATTATTAAAGGTTGCCACATATTTTCTGATTCTGGGAATCATGCCTCGATGATTCAAGGCATACGCAATAGTCTAGTTCCTAAACATATTTTCAAGCACAACAATCCTGATCACTTGGAATCGTTATTGAAGCAAGTGGACCCGCATATTCCTAAAATTGTAGCCTTCGAAACTGTTCATTCTATGTCAGGTAGAACAAACAAAAAATATCTCCGTTATTATTATATAATATATTGCACTATCATATATAATCTTTTCATTGTTATTCTTTCTGTGATAATCCACATTATGAAAATATATATTATACAAAATATAAGATAATTGAGATTAGTTTTTTTATTATATTATGTTTTAAAAAAATAGAGAAAGTAGGTAAAAGAAAGGAAGAAATAAATAATTAGTCAAATAGGGAAAAGCATGAATAATATTTTAAATTACATCAGGACCACTCAAGGATGGTTAATTTTTTTAGCAACTACTTAATAAACAATCTTTAAAGGCTTTACTATATTTAATTTTTTTTGGTATAAAATAATCCAAGGGGCCATATGCCCATTATCTACCTTATGCAAAATATCCCATCAATATAATGCCTTAACCTTCGTAGACGAGGTCCATGCCGTAGGATTATACGGCTCGCGCGGAGCTGGAATAGGTGAGAGGAATGGTTGTGCCAACGCTATGGATATGGTTACAGGAACTTTAGGTTTTTAATTTCTATCTTTTATTCCTTGAAATCGCTAAATTTTTCAAATAAAATGCATTTTTTAGAATCATTATTTTCTTAAAATTCATTTTCCTTTCTTATTAGTTTTAATCTTAAATTTTAACTATTTTTTTAACAAAAAAAAATAAATATTATTTTCCATCAGGGCAGCACGAGTTTATCATATTTTAATTAAAATTATTACTAAAATAAATATTTTATTCTAAATGATATTTGAGATATTATTTCTTTGGATAGGTAAAGCCTTTGGAAGTATAGGCGGTTACTTGGCAGGTACAACCAGTCTCATTGACTCGGTAAGAAGTTATGGCTCTGGATTCATATTCACTACTTCCCTGCCACCCACGGTTTTAGCAGCGGCTATAGCTTCTATTCAAGTTTACATTTTATTTTTTTCAGAATTTAAACAATGTTCTTTCGAGCTAATAAAAATGATTAAATTTATTTTTGCCTTTCAGGTTTAATCTTATTATATTCAGCTAAAATTTATGTCGATTATACCTTAATTATTTTATTATAATATTTAAACAGATATTGATGAGTTCTGAAGGGGTTTTGTTACGTGAAAAACATCAACATAATGTTAAATATCTTCGAAATTCTTTAATGCAAGAAGGTATTCCTGTCCTACACACGCCTTCCCATATCATTCCTATTAGTGTAAATTGAAATAATCTTAATATATAGAAAAAAAACACTTAGAATGTAGACCTATATTTATTAGTACGAAATTCATGGTAATTTTTTAAAAATATATCTAACAAGATTGGAGATGCTGAGATAGCATCCAAAATCTGCGATCTTTTGCTAACTCGTCATGGCCACTACATACAATCTATAAACTATCCTACAGTGCCAAAGGGAGAAGAAAGGTATACATTCATATCTTTCAATTGTAAGATAAAACTAGTCTTATTTTTAAAGCCCTGAATGTTAGGTTTATAATTTTTTTAAAAGGAATAGAGCTCGTGCATAATTTTGTTCTCAAAAATATACACCCATTTTCACTTCTATTATTAAAATAAAATGATAATTAAAATTTCTTTGGGAATTAGGACAAAACAATTAGTATTTTTAGTTAACCTTATAAAAATGCTTTTAGTCTACATTTTTCAGTTAAAAATTTCTGGTCTAGCTTAAAATGCTAAATTTGTAGAACTGCTTTATTTTAATTCGATAATAAATTATATTTTTGTCACAGTTTTATGTAATTTTTAAGATATATATTTAAATATAAGGCAACCGTCAATCAACAATGCATATTGTCATTGGTCGCGTATTGTTGATTGGTCGGGGATAAATAATAATATATAATATGATTATTTTGATCTTTGATTTGATAATTTTTCTCTGGTGAAAATTTTTAATCATTATTAAATTATTGGATTTTTCTGATTATATATTGTTATTTTTTATTGAACTACTGAAAAAATCTTAATAAAAAGATTTATGAAAATTGTTCCTCTGAAAAAGATTAATTGAAGATATAAGTGAGCAAAGTAGTGATATCAAAGACAGGAGTAAGATAAATAGTTTTTTTCAAATTCTGATTTATAAAAAACAGATTAAGGTTAGCTCCTACCCCTTTCCATACGAAATCCCTTATGGATGCTTTAGTCCACGACTTCAAAAGCGTATGGAATGATATGGGGCTTCCTCTTAAAACCCCGACCTGCCAATACAACTGCGAATATTGTCTCATGCCGCTTCGATTTGAGATGTACGCCTCTAGAAGTGATTTTATGCCTTGCTCCGATATAGATTGTCCAAAACTTCGAGATTATCAAGCCGTTACCGGTGGTGGATGAAAATATTTACAATTTTTTATAAAATAGAAAGATCATAATTGAATTTACTATAAGCTTTTTTTTATATTATTATATTAGCTATGGTCTGGGTTTCGATATTTTTATTATATTTATTTTGTGTTACGCATATTTATTAAAAGGCGCATTGTACTCAATTTAAAAAATTCTGAATCAATAATTTATGTAGCTTATTATATAAATTTGTGTTAAATTATTATATAACCGACTTTTTGTAATATCTAATTACCCATTTAAATTCATAGCCCAAAATTTATAAGATTTTTTATATGAATTAGTCAAACTTTCAAATATTACCGTATATTAAATTACATCCAACCATTTCATAATCCTTTTTATTTCTTATAATAACTTTTATGTCTCCCTTTTTTTAATGTACATAATTCTCTTAAAGTACAATCAGTGGCGTCGTTGGGGGAGGGAGGGGGCACGTGCTAAAAGTGTCAAAATGTAATAGCATTTCTAAAATATACCAAATCTTTTTTCCGAGCACGCTTATATGATAGAGGCTAACGACGCGACTGAGTAAAATATCTTTTTTTGGTTAAAATGATGATAAATTCATTCGCTTTAACTTATATTTTTACGCACGCACAACAAAATATCTAGGTCATTTTTTCGCACATTTTATATTAATTTTATTATTATAAATTTATAAAAGATTAAACTAATAAAAAAAATATTTTGTAGTTTTTCGGTGAAATAAAGAATATTAAAATAATTAATATTGCCTCAATCCCTGGATTCAAATGTTGGTAACATTCTGAATTCTCTGTGAACTGAAAAGTTTTAGATGAAATCTTAACCAGCTTAAGTAACTGATGAATCCTATAACAATTATAAACTCATGGTTTTATAATTTATTTCTAACTTATATGGTAGAAAAATTATCTTGTTTTTTATAGACAATTTCTATGAAAGAGAGAGAAAGTAAACAGATACTAATTTCAATAAAATAAATACATATAAAAGCGATGTTTTAATAGATATCAGCTATTATTCATCCTATGTTTATCGAGTTAACTTGTATAATTGGAGCTAATCTGAATTTCATTAATTAAAGGGCATTTTTCATTCTTCTATATTTATGCTGAATAAAAATAGATTGTTAAAGATAAACAGAGTTGGGCAGTACCGCGAATCTTGTAGTATCTTTTTGATATTTTTAATAAGATACTAGTATCTGGATCCTTTATTCTGAAAATAATTTTGTATCTTTTTCATAGTGAGATTCTTTTTAATATTCATGTTTAAAAAATTTACATATCACAGATTATAACCTTATTTTTTTCGATAACCAAAATTAGCTAGAAAATTTCTCATTAAGATAGATAAAAATTACCCAAAAAGAAATAAGTAAATGATATAGGCGTTAAATAAAATGACATCTTAATATTAATTAAAATAAAATAAAATTAAAATATTAAAATAAAATTTAACAAAAATAATTATAATAAATTATAATAATTTTAAAATTATATAATATAAAATTAATTTAAAAATTATAATATTAATTAAAATAATTAATAATTATAATATTCGAATGACCTTTTATAAAATATATCACGATTTTTACTAACTTATTTTATAATACTATATGAAGTTGAAATTTTGTATATATTGTAACATAATGTAATTCTTCATTTTAAATTTAATAAAATAGTTTTCTTAATCATAGCTAGCCATCATGGTGGCAGATATAAAAGTTTGTTAGCAATTCCTAAATTAAAATTAAATATAAACTTTAATTAAAGCATATGGATACTTGGCCAACTATAGATAAAAACTATTTAATTCTTGGAATAGATATTGAAATATTCAAAGATAAAAATTTCTTAGATGATATTTTCATGAAAGCTAACGTTGATCAGGAAAATGCAGACCAACCTTAGGCAATGAATGAATTTAATATGATAATATAATAATATACTGCGATATGATAATATTTATGCCTAAATATGATAAAATATAAGACCAAAAGACTATTCCAAGTTCATAATTTTCGATTAAACCTAACTGTTCCACCTCAGGTTCTGGATATTCAAGGAGGGGAAAGTTAAGGAAAATTTAAAGTAATTAATTAAAAAATAAAATATTTAGAGTAAATTAAGATTTAAATAGATATTCATAAATCGATGATATTTAAATTATTAAAGAATAGATATTTAAAATAAATTTTTTTACAGTAAATATAAATATTAAAATTAAATAATATAAACTTGATGATAATAACAAACTATTATTGTGATAACTAAATACCACGATGATGCAAATAAAAGAAATTATGTCTATATCAAATCAACACAGACGACGAAGATGATAGTATAAAAGATATTGATACCGCTTAGTTACATATAAACATCGATAACAACAAATTAACCCCACGACTAATTCTCGATAACAAATGACGACGAAATTACTTGCTATAATTTATTCGACGATCGCCAAAAACAAATATAATGGATTTCTCAGAAAGGGGAATGTTATAGACGTCAAATAAAATGACATTTTAATATTAATTAAAATAAAATAATATATTAATTAAAATATAATTTAAAAAAATAATTATAAAAATATAATATTAAATTAATTAAAATAAATTATAATATTAATTAAAATAATTTCTAATAATTATAAAATAATATTCGAATGACCTTTTATAAAATATATCACGATTTTTACTAACCTATTTCATTTTATTTTATAATACTATATAAAGTTGAAATTTTGTATATATAGTAACATAATGTAATTCTTCATTTTCAATTCAATAAAATAGTTATCTCAATCATAGCTAGCCATCATATGTGTTTCCACCAGTAAAGAATATATTTTATCTATAAATTAAATGTAACTCGAAAGAATATAATTACCAATGTAATATATCATAATTTGTAGGATGATTAACACTCAGTGAAAGGAAAATTATGGAAATCAATTTTCCTGAATAAAATCCATATCTTAAATTTTTTAAAAATAATTCAAACAAGCTGAATGTCAAACATGTAAACATAAAAAATGCTAAAGGGTTCAACATACTCCTCTACAAATTTTGTTAAACACATTAAGGTATATTATTTATATGATAATTTTAAGTTAAAATAAAATTATATATTTTTAAAAAAAATTAGAGATGCAATAGGCATTTATACCCAATATAAGTTGTATCTAAAAGCAGAAAACCAGCAAACTCTACCACCATAAAAAAAAATAATTCAACCCAGTATATCAGCTTTAATGCAATTAATAAAATAAAACCAATAATTATACAAAATAAAATTGATATAGAAAATTTCCATGCATAATCAGGTGCAATAACCTATACGATTTATGTCTTCACTGCTAAAATATAAATCACATTTTAATTTATTATTTGAAACAATTGATAAGGAAGCGAATATTGTTTATATTGAGAAACATTGTTAAAACAAACTACAAGGGTAGAGTAGTAAAGAATTAATGCCATTTGTGGTTAAAAGGGACTTAGGTAAACTTAAAAATTTAAGTTGCAATATTGTCTAAATCAAAGTTTTCCTAGATAGTATGGGCAAAAGATTTGGGAAATTTTTTTCTTATGATGTTGAATATAAATTATCACATTTATATTTTAAGAACTTATGAATTGTAGGATGATAAAAAAAATACTTTTATATTACTAAAAAAAGCCCTAAATGTAGTATCAGTAGTAAATAATCAAGAAGCTCAAACTATAACACCAAGATTAAATATCTAACACAGAAAATGATGATTATTTTTCATTTGCTGAAACAAATGTTGTTGAGTTCAATAATGCAAATAACATAGAGATGGAAGTTTAAAAGTATTTTAAAGACCGTCGAAATACATTAGAAATGCTTAATATTATCGTTCCATAAAGGAATTTTTTTAAAATATATATTGCAATATCTTATTTATCTCCAATTGAAAGGTTAATTAGTTTTGGCACAATGTTAAATACGGCGAAATGGCAAAGGCTTAATGATATATTATTTGAAAAATTGATCATATTAAAAAATAATAAAATAATTTAATCTAATTTAAATATGCTTTTGCAAATTAATATTTCAACTCACCTTAAAAATACTAGTTTCCCTTCCCGGATAAAACTAATAATAAATGGCCTGATTATTATATTTAACTCGTCATTAAATATTCTATTAATTATTGATATTCATTCTTATTATATGCTTATGTTATGTTCTTCCCCGATAAATAAAAAATTGTATTTATAAACTATTCTAATTAGTATTGATAATTTTATAAAAGTAACTTGTATTTAAGATATTCTCATTTGGAAAAAGATACAATTATTTCTTTAATATTTTGAAAGATACTAGTATCTGTATCTAAGAATCCATTTTTTTAATAAAGAATCTCTGTATTCATTTTCTGGAGGAGTTGCCTAACTCTGAAGATAAATATATACCATAAATTGAGCCTTTTAATTGTAAGGATTTTTTAAAATGAATTAGCTAAAATCATTATTAAAAAGATATGTTCATATTGCCTTAAACTTTACTGCAGGGGCCCCTACAACGGGGGGGGGGTCCGAAGCAACTGCTTCAGTAAATTTGAGTGGGGGTACTTTAAAAACAATTTTTTTTTTTTACATCCATCATGATCATCTGGTTTATAAATGAATAATAAGACCCCTCCCCACTTAATATTTAATTTAATATATTGACGGAAATTTTGGTCGATGTTTAGTAAATTTGTTATCCGAGATTTCTTGTCATAAATTATTTTTCCAATTTTAAAATATGCCTAAAAATATTAACCAAAAAAAATACAAATGCCTAATAAAAAATTGCAAATCGCATAATATAAGAGATGATAAATGGATAGATCACATTAGAAAAAGACAAGAAAGAATGTGTAGATAATAACCGTTCTATTATAAGAATTATAATAAGATGTTTAGATTATTTAATATCTCGTAGCCAAGCCTTCTGAGGGAATAAGCATCAAGAAGGCAATATGATGGCCCTAGTTAAGCTTATTGCAGATTCTGAACCTATATTAAAAATGTATATACAGCAAAATGAAGAAAGAAAAAAGGATAAAAAAAATAAGGGATTAAAAACGAAATTATATTCAAACCTATTATCATATAATAACATAAACATTCTCATTGAAACCATGAAAAATATGGTTATAAAAAAAATTCAAAATAAGATTACATTTAACAGATGCTTTTCAATCATAGTTGATGGCAGTTTCGAAATCAGAAGCAATAGCTTTGATAGTAAGATATGTTGAAAATAGTGAGACGCCGAAGCCTGTTGAAAGACTGATTGACATATATTGTACGGGAAATACCACAGGTCTCGATATAAAGCATAATATAATATCCAAACTTGGCTCGATGAATTTACCCCTTGAATATCTAGTTGGGCAAAGTTATGATGGCGCCTCAAACATGTGTGGAAGAATCAATGGTGTGCAAGCCTTGATTAGAGCAGAGGCGCCAAAGGCAGCTTTTATTTGGTGTTATTGTCATCGATTAAATTTAATCGTTGTTCAATTATGCCAATCAATTAAAGAACTTCGAAATGTTCTAGGAATACTAGATGAGATTTATGTCTATTTTAATGGTGTAAAAAGATATGAGGTACTCAAAAAATTTCAGTGTAATGATCTGAAAAAATCGCAACGATTTCTACGCGTCAAGAATACCACTCGGTAATAG